CATTTTTTACCCAAAATCATTTTGACCCTCAGAAAATCCTACATTATTTAATGGTGAAAGAGACTCAGGATTAGTCCATTGTGGTATTTAATTGTCTGGGTTTGGTTTAGTTTTTACTTTATTTTTTAGCAGTGGACTGCTGCTTTATACCTGTGTGTACACAGTCACAGAAAGGGCTGCTTTCTTTGTTCCCATTTTCATGGTCTCATACTCATTTGTTAGTTAGTTGCTTCCTTGGTCTCCCACATGGAGAAAAGCTTTCTCCTTTTGTTTCTCTGGTTGTTTCTCTTTTTTCTCTTGGATTCATCCTCTGCTCAGGTGCCAGGTACATACTATTTCTGTTTGAACTGATTTCTCTTTTCTTTTCTTTTCTTTTCTTTTTTTTTTGCTGGGTTTTCTACCTGTGTTTGTTTGGTGTGGTTAATGGTCTCCAATCTTTGTTTATGTTGGGACACACCCAATTGAAAGAAAGGAATTAAAAGTAACCCCTTTATAATCTAGTGAAATTTTGCTGAGAAAGGATATCACTCGGTAAAAATTAACAAATAAAAATGACGGAGAAGGATACAAGAATGACCAGACACACAGGAAGCTAGTCTCGGGTTTTTAATGCTATCTTTCTAGGTGTCAAGATTTGATTTTTTGGAGACTTGGAGTAGAGAAATGAAGTGAGGCCTTGACGGCACGTTTGGAGTGCCGGAGACGAGGCAGGATAGCCGGATGGGACACAGTTTTTGTCCTGTCTTGCGATTTCCCATGTTTGGTGGAACAAAGGATGGAACACGCATCATCCTACATTTTATCCAATCTAGACCCTTTTTTTTATTAAATGTATCCCACCTCCCCATGGGATTAGGGGTTAAAATTTATTTTAAGTATTTTATTTTAATAAATTTATTGATTTTAATTTTTTAATTTATATTATAATATTTTTATTTTTTATTTTAATAAATTTATAAATTTTAACTTTTTATGTTATATTATAACATTTTTTATTTTTTATTTATACGAATTAAAAAAAATAATTTTTACTTAAGGTCAGGTTATAACATTTTGTTAGTTCTATTAACTGACAATTAACTCTATTAACTGATTATTAATATTTCGTTAATATTCGTTAACGAAACTAACAAATAAAATTGAATTCAAATTTCATGTTTTTTATAATAGAATGCTGATAGATACTAACAGTTAAATAACAGAGTTAATAGTTAATTAACATAACTGACAGAATGTTATAATCTGACTTAAGTAAATGTTATTTTTTCCAACTCGTATAGGTAATGTGTTAAAATCTATAAATTTATTGAGATAAATGGTTGAAAGTGTTTATTCTAAGATGATAGGTTAAAACTTATAAATTTATTAAAATAAAAGATTAAAAATAAGTTTTTGCTGGGATTAAGTGGGATCATATTGAATTTTCATATTTTACCCCTTCTTTTTTCCCAACGATTTTCTCCTTGCATATGCCTACACATCAACACCGATTCCGGGCAAAAACCAACATTTAACCCTTCATCTTATAAAATTGATAGGTTTTAACCTCTTATCTTATAATATAATAGTTTTAGCATTTTATTTTACAAAATTGGTAAGTTTAACCACTCACCTTACAAAGTTGTTAGGTTTTAACCCTTTACCTTATATTATGATAATTTTAGCCCCTCATTGATATGAATTAAAAAAATAGCTCTCACCTAACATCAGATTATAACATTCTGTTAGTTGACTGTTAATATCCGTTAGTATTTTGTTATAAAAAAATATAAAATTTAAATTCAATTTTATTTGTTAGTTCCACTAATGGAAACAGAATACTAACGGATGCTAATAGTCAATTAATAAAATTAATAGTCAGTTAACAGAACTGACAGTCAGCTAACAGAATTAATAAAATATTATAATATGATATTAAATAAGGGCTATTTTCTTCAATTCGTACAGATAAGGGGCTAAAAGTGCCATAATATAAGGTGAAGAGTTAAAACCTACTAATTTTGTAAGGTAAGGGGTTAAAACCTACCAATTTTATAAGGTAAAAGGTTCAAAGTGTCATATTATAAGGTTAGGAACTAAACTCTACCAATTTTTTAAGGTGAGGGGCTTAAAGTTGATTTTAGCCCCGATTCCAGCGTTACTCTGTGTCACCAACTCCAAAAATGCATTTTTCATCTTCTGCTGCCGATCTCCATTCTCATAAATCTGGATCATCTATTTTATCTTTGGCCATCTATCTTTTTATAAATCTCCTGTCATCCCTTTCTTCTTCTTCCATCACTGATTCCATTAGTCTCTTATCATCCCTTTCCTTTTCTTTTTCTCTTAGGTATTGTTTGGATTGGAGGTGTCAGACGGAGAGGGAGGGGAAAGGATGGGGACGGATGGGAAGGGAGGGGGAGTGAGGGGGAGCTGTCTCCTTCCTTCTGTTTGGGCTTTTAAAGAGGCAGAGGGGGAGGGAGATGGACTGATTCGGACTCCCTCCAACTCCCCTCGAATCTGCAGATTTGCAATCCGCCCGATTTGGGGGGTTTGGGAGGGATTTGAGTGGTTGTTTACATTAAGTTAAATGTAATTACAAAATTAACCTTAATTTTTTTTATTATATCCTTCTCCATTACAAGCTTAAAGGGTAAGTTTGTAAATTTAAAATTAATTTAAATCCTTCCCTTTCTTCCTTTCCTTTTACCTTAACTATCCAAACATAAAATAATACAATTCTTCCCTTCCCCTCCCCTTCCTCATTTTTATTTATCCAAACAAAATTAACACAAATCATTTCCTTCTATTTTCTTCCCTTCCCTTTATTTTCCTCCCCCTCCATTTCCTTTTATTTTCCTCCATTCCCCTCCCTTCCCCTCCCTTTACTATTTTCTATCCAAACAAGGCGTTAAAATAAAGAAACCCAAATTTATCCCACTCCTTTTCCACACTCAAAATGCACTTGGATCTCATATTTCAATTTCATTCAATCGACACCGATGACATCGCCTCCTCGTACACATTCCGGTGAATCTAAAAAATATATATATCTTTATTTTCTCTTTTATCCATGCTAAGATTTGCTGATTTGCTTCTCAGACAAAATATTAGAGTTAGAAAGAAAACTCTGGCTTGCAGAGGTAAAGAAGAACATGGAAAGTACTGGAGATATTGAAAAAATGGAAGAAAAATGCATTTAAGAAGTCAGGAGCTGTTTGCGAGTGGAGAAAATGAAATAAAAAATTGCAAGAAAATTTTGAAGGGTGTTAGTAAATTTTTCCATTTTTAATAAATAAACTGAATTGAAATAATATGGGTATTTTTGTCAACAAATAAATATTTTAAGTTTTTTTTTTAATTTTTATTAATTATACAACAGGAGACGATTTTTTTTTAATTTTTTATCCCATCTCATTGACATATCATATCAATTGAATTCAGAATATCTTACAGTCTCATATTTAATCTCATGAAATCCAAACAGATGATTGGATTTTTAAATAATTCAATCAAGATCAATTGAACTTCTAAATAATCCAATCCAAACCAATCCAATCCTATCATTTGAATTCTACCTCATCCAATCCTAACCTATATTTTAAACATGCTGTGAATGTTTGAGTTCTATTAAATATCTGGGTCCTGAACTTTTAACATGCTGGACCTGGTTCCATACCAATTTAAAATTCTGTGGCTGTACTCCATAGGTGAAGTATAGGTTAAAGGCACTGGAAAAAAACAAAGGGGGAAAAACGGTGGCCCTTGGCTCGGCTGCTATGTTGTTTACTTGTTTTATTCAATCAACTTGATGGTTCTATTTTGAAGTTGTGGTCTAGATGTGGATAGGGAGTCATGTTGTTCTCAACTATAGGTTGTTTTAATTATTATTGAAGTGAAGTTATTCTTTGAAATCCTGCAAAATAGATGGTCTCTGCCAATCATCCCTTCTCATTAAATGTTTTAGTTGATATCCTTTCTGAATCAGAACTGCTTTAAATATATATATATATTTACCTTGATACTTTTATGTGGTTATGTTTCTTTATTATGATGATAAATTCATGTGTTTAATGACATATCCTATTGGGATCTGTTTTAGTGATTAGATTATGACATAAGAATCTTGCTGTACTTTTGGTCCTTCAGTGCTGACGAATGTAGACATTTCACGCAGGTTTTGTTACTTTGAATTGTGGAGGTAAAGAAAATTTCACTGATGAACTTGGTCTTGAGTGGACTTCTGATGCTTTTCTCAAG